GAATAAATGGAAACAAAACTATATAAACTTCTCCTATAACTTTTGTTTTAGCTGAAGTCACGTGATAGGAATGTTTTGATGTTTTTGTTACGCTTCGGAAATCATTCTTCGGCGCTTTCATATTAACACCTACAGTGCTGGTCTGTTGGCATAGCAGTTTCATCAAATTATTCAACATTGAAGATCAAGAATTAATAGCGATAGGCGTAGTAAAGTAGAAATAACACCCAAGTGTATGGTAAGTTGCCCTGACAGCTGATAATGTATAAACGAATGCAAAACTTTAAGATACGTCTATTCAAAACATATCTGTGGAAATGTCAGAAGTTGTACGTTTGGTTCTAGATAACTCAGACGGAAATTTGAAATCAAGAAACAAAACCATCCAAATCATTTCAGGTAAGTTTTCAGTCATAATTGCCTTCTCATAACTGAGACTTGCTAAAAGTATTTTTTCTGAATTTTAATGAATACTAACTTCAAACGCAATTTTACAAGCAAGGTGGCACAAAGTTTTCTGAAGCTTTAATTACAAATTACTTTTTTTCAAACTTTCAGTTCTCATACTTTCAAACAAAAATACCAGCAAAATTAACGGTTAAAACAGATCGAACACTAGAACAACTACATCTTGACTCAATTTTAAGCACAACTAATGAGATTCTGTTTGTTTTAGTAAGATCATAGTTAGATACATGTATCAGTATTTGAATGTTTCGTGGAATGCATTTGATTATTTAGCATGCMTGTCTTTGTGAGCAGCTCTTGTTACGATGCAGGATAACGGTGTAAGGATTTATCCATGAAATGTTTGTTTTAACCATAGTCAAAAGCGTTGTTTATTGAAAAATTATATTGATTTCAGTTTCAGGAAATAAATCCACCTTTGCATGACTTAGCCGCCAGCTTATCGAGTCCGAAAATAATGAGGACGATGGCGACAACATAGTTTTCAAAGAAGAGGTTAGTGGAATTTTGCTATTTTTATGAGATGCGACCTCTTATCATWCCAGGCATACGGATGCTATATGTATGTAATTTCAAGGCAGACATGCCKCGGTAGAAGCAAATTCGCCAAATTAAACATGTTGTATGAATCCACATGCCATATTTTAGAAGCCTTTTCTCAAAGTAGATTTTATGCTTGCTTTTAATTTTCCTGATTACATGGATTATGAAGACCGCTTTGATTACGCGGTCTTGGATGATATTATTTTTAAATAAATGTGATGAAATAGACCTAACTCGTTTAAACCACCCGGGAGTAAGTTTCATTGTTCGTTGTATTTGCATTTCACAGTTGAATTCTTAGAAACAAAAGTTCTTTATCCCACAGGATTTGAATTGGGTGGTAACGTACATTGCAACGCGTTAGCCGATTAGGTCTATTTGAAATGTGGTGAAAACAACAATCACGGCATTCGACTTCGTCTCGTACTTTTTTGATTCATCACATTTTCACGTCATATTTGTATCAATTAGAGTACTGACGAAAGAAAAAATGAAATCTTAAAATGATTTGCTTCCATATCTGTCATATTTTGGAAAAGGAACTTGTAGGACACTAACATTTTTTTAAACATTCCATGTCTTCGACAAACAATGTCTTCATGGCGTCAMGATTCTCTAGTCAGCTAGCTAGTTATGGTTGAAGATATCATACTGAGTGAATGATTTCTAACTTGCAATTTTAAACCTATGTAGATGGCTATGGCAAGTCCTGATAAGTTTAGCAAAGAACAATTGAACTAYTTTCGSATTTGTCACGTGACAGCTCACGTSACTGATGGCCTTCGTAAAGTGTTCAAACAAGAATGGGATGCTCGCTATAAGACATCGCATGGTGAATGGAAYGACACTGCAAAAAATGGAATTGATTTCTACAGCCTGACACCACCAAAAGAGCAAAAGACGAAAGAAAAAGAACTTTCTACCATTAGAAATGGGAACACCATGGAATGGGACTGCACGTGTCTGTTTTACGCAATCCTTTATTCAAAGTGTATTGGAAAGAATAAGCTTGACCCAAAGGTAAAGAAAGCTGTTGATGAACTGAGACAGTATCGTAACGGCAAATTTGCCCACACACCTAAATACAAAGTAACTGATGCAGATTTCCAGTCTTCAGTACAAGATGTAATTAGCGCTTTCCATGATTTGAACCTTGACACAATTGACATCCAAAATATGAAATCCCAAACAAGTTTTCAAACGGAGGAGCTTGAGAAAATCCAGGAACAGTTGGCTAAAGAGAAAAGACGCAACCAGGAGCCACAGACATTTTGTGATTTGCCACCAAAGCCATCACATGAAGTGATTCCACGCTCGAGCGAAGTAGACACAATAACGAAAGAGATGAAAACGTTACAAAGCCTTCATCCAACCGAGGTGACACATGTCTACTTGTCAGGAAATCCAGGATGTGGAAAAAGTGAAACAGCGAGACAAGTTGGAGAGAAATTTTTTGATGAAACTGAGAGTGCTTCGTCGAAGACATTCGTTGCTACACTTAATGCATCAAGCTTGGAGTCATTACTAAAATCGTACATCGATTTTGCTCGTCAACTTCGAGTAGATGAAGAATACATTCAAAATATTCTATCATCGAAGACACATTCACAACCAGAGGATAAAATTTGGCAGTTGAAAGGACTCGTCAATCAAAAATTGGCATTTTTCTCCTCGTGGTTAATGATCATTGATAACGTGGTCAGTCTTAAGAAGGTGTCAAAGTTTTTCCCTCATTTTGGGGAAAAGACAACTGCAAAGGCACAAGTCTTGGTGACTACACAAGACGGGCCATCAAATCCTCTAGCAAGTCCTAAAATCTACCACAAACCGCTAAGTAAAGGAATGAAGCCTGATGACGCCGTTAATGCTCTTTTCTCCATCTCTCAGCAATTTCAAGATAAAGACGTGGTGTTTGAAATTGCAAAGGCACTTGATTATCAACCACTAGCTCTTGCCTGCACTGCAGTCTACATGAAGTTCGTCCGCAATAAAAATTGGTCTAACTGTCTTACAAAGATCAAAGAAGGAAAACGTGAACGAACTGAAAAATCCTACCTCGATACATGCAGTCAGGTCTATTCACAATCGATGACAACAGCTGTGAAGATGGCTTTAGACAGAGTGGTCACAGAAGATGAGGTCATGATGATTGCATGTCAGTTTTTGTCGATGCTTGCGAAAGATCCAATACCAATAAAGTACGTTGTTCARTACGTTATCAAATGCATGCCTGACGAAGACGAGGATTTGATAGAATCTCACATCGAGCGCTCTTCTCTCTTTCTCATTTCTGATGATGGCCAAGATGTCCGTGTCCATCAGATTGTGCATAATGTACTTCAAGACACGGTGAGGAATACAGTTGATTATCTTCGTACAGCAAACATAGTTACATCGTTTGAACAGCTAGCTATCAAGGATGATGAAGAACCTGATTACGACTTTATAATGTCTACAAAGCCTCTAATCCCACACTTTGTAACTTTGCAAAATGCCGTCTCTCAGAATCTCCAATCCTTTCTAGCCCTGAGTAAAGAGAAAGCACTTTTGGTGGCAAAATGCCTTTCCTGCACTATTGGTAAATTGTGTTTCATAAATGGTCAACTAAAAGAAGCGAGAAGTTACCTTGAAATGTCTATCGATATAAAAGAAGCATTTTGCATTGGAAAGGAACATTTATTAGAGCGAAATTTACTTTGCGAGATCCTTTGTGAGCTTCGCGACTATAAAAGAGCAAGATTGTGTCTCGAACAGGCATTGGGGCGCAATCATGACATTCCTGATGATATCAACAAAAATTGTGGTTTGTACCTTCGAGCACTGACCAATCTTGGGTTTGCGCTTTCGTGGGAGRGATTGTCTCGAGRTAGGCAGGAAGCACAACAGTGCGTAAAAGAAGCACTTGAAATTCTAAACAAAGTGACTTTAGATATTCCCTTTGCAGGACGAATATTAAACAACATTGC